GGAGCCCCACCAGTGCTCTGCCGCGGGCGACCCTGACCACACGGGCCAGCCGGGTCGGAGGCCAGGGGGCAACACCTGGGGCTTGGCCTTCCACACTCAGCACAGGGAGGGAGAGGCTTCCGGTGAGATCCTCAGCTCCTCACAAACTAGGACAGAGCCAAAGACCGCCCGAGCTGCAGGTGGGGTCCGTGCCGAGTCTGCTTGACAGCCGGCTCCCCGGTTAAGAGGAAGGAGTTCAAGACAGAGGGTGAGTCCCAATGAACCACAAAGAGGCAGCAGGCAGATAAAGAGCTTTCCAAGCGCAGTGGGCTCTGCAGGGGGCTCCCCTTGCCCTGGGGGTGTCCCCACCTCCCCCACAGTGACTAGATGCAGGATGAACAGGGAAGGAGTGTGACAAGATGCTCCTGATCCACAAAGACCCTCCCCCTCACCTAGACCGCCAGATAGAGTAGAACACGTCGGAGACAAACCAGGGGGTTACCCAATCCGCACACAGGATTAGGATTAATTAGAATTAATCGCCCTCTGCGGCTGACCAAAACTTTGAAGCAATTTCTTTTATAATAAACATTTGATAATTACTAATTGGAAAAGCATTGCGTAACCTCATTAAAACACAAGCAGTTACAGACTCTACAATTTACACAAAGGGGCCATTTGTAAAGGCTAAAAGTCGGTCACTAGACGCTTATGAACAGGCTGTTCACGCACACTGGCCGAGCAGAGAGCCATCCAAAGCGGGGGGTTTCTCTTTACCTCCTTCCCCTAAAGGACCGTGGCTCGGGATGGACGCATTCGGCTTTGGACTCGGCTGCTAGTAAGATAAGTCCCTAACGCAGAAGAACTCAGACCTACCTCACCAAGCAATGTCATCTTGCTGGAAGTATACTTAGTGAGCTTCATTTACAAACCGCCTTTTGTGGTGCTCGAAGGCAAGTCCAGAGATGACGGCTCATCTGTTCTACACGCAACACGGGGGCTCCACGCCAGCCCCCCGAGAATGGGCCACCTGAGCTACACTCAGCACCCGCAATCTTCAAGGATATCTAGGGGATGGATGAAAATCACCCATCTGTGACCACGAGTCTGTTTTCCCACCGTTCACTGACTGCCAAACAGCACCCACAACCATTTGTAAACTCTGAAACAGGAGCGATGAGCCACCGGTAAGTCTGAATTCCACCAGTGGCCCTTGTGGGGAGTGAGGGGTGTGCGGCACTTTTCTGTGCGAATTTACGCCTGCCAAATCCCTTTGCCAAAACAAACAAAAACAAACATGGAGTAAATGAAAAACAAAATAATAAAGTAAAGGGAAACCGAGTCATCTTCTAGCTAAGAGCTGCTGACTTTTTTTTCTTTATTTATTTAAGTAATCTACACCCAACATGGGGCTTGAACTCACAACCCTGAGATCAAGAGCCACTTTGCCTCCACCAATGGAGCCAGCCAGGTGCCCCAAGAGCTGCTGACTTTGAGAATCACATGGTTTGCATACCAAAGCTTAAAATCATAATGAAATACAGGGGCACCTGGGTGGCTCAGTCACTTGGGCGTCAGACTTCGGCTCAGGTCATGATCCCACAGTTCCTGGGTTCGAGCCCCGTGTCAGGCTCTGTGCTGACAGGTCAGAGCCTGGAGCTTGCTTCAGATTCTCTGTGTCCCTCTCCTACTCACACTCTGTGTCTGTCTCAAAAATAAACATTAAAAAAAAAAAAACATAATGAAATACAAACAGAAACAACTGAGTCTAACCTCATCACAAATGATTAATATAAATGCAAACGATACAAAACAAAAAACACGGAGCGCCCAGGTGGCTCAGTCAGTTAGGCAACTGACTCTTGACTTCGGCTCAGGTCATGATCTCACGGTTTGTGAGACAGAGCTCCGTGTTGGGCTCCACGCTGACAGTGTGGAGCCAGCACGGGATTCTCTCTCCCTCTCTCGCTACCCCTCCCTCTGCTCATGCACATGTGCACTCTCTCAAATAAAACATTAAAAAAAAAAAACAAACAGGGCACCTGAGTGGCTCAGTTGGTTAAGCATCCAGCTTCAGCTCAGGTCATGATCTCACGGTCCGGGAGTTCAAGCCCCACATTGGGCTCTGTGCTGACAGCTCAGGGCCTGGAGCTTACTTCAGATTCTGTGTCTCCCTCTCTGCCCCTCCCCCACTTGCACTCTGTCTCTGTCTCTCAAAAATAAACATTAAAAAAAAATTAGAAAAAAAAAAAATGCCCTGGGGTTCCTGAGTGGCTCAGTGGGTTAAGCGCCTGACTTCGGTTCAGGCCATGACCTCGAGGTTCGTGAGTTCGAGTCCCACATCAGGCTCTATGCTGATAGCTCAGAGCCTGGAGCCTACTTCAAATTATCTCTGCCCGTCCCCCACTCACACTCTGTCTCTCTCTCTCTCTCTCCCAAAAATAAATTGAAAAAAATATTTAAAAATTTTAAAAAATACACTAAAATAACTTCATAAAAAACTTTATATATTGTAAGGATAAAAACAAAACAACTGTATGCAAATATTATCCTCTAATAGGTTTGTTTTTAACAGAAATATGGACTAGAAATTCTTTTTGTTGTTTTTTTTTTTTTAATTTTTTTTTTTCAACGTTTATTTATTTTTGGGACAGAGAGAGACAGAGCATGAACGGGGGAGGGGCAGAGAGAGAGGGAGACACAGAATCGGAAACAGGCTCCAGGCTCTGAGCCATCAGCCCAGAGCCTGACGCGGGGCTCGAACTCACGGACCGTGAGATCGTGACCTGGCTGAAGCCGGACGCTTAACCGACTGCGCCACCCAGGCGCCCCTGGACTAGAAATTCTGAAATTACTTCATCTGTGGTCTAGGATTGAGCAGATAAGTAAATACATTGAGGACAATAGGAACCAGATTTAGAGAGGAAAAGAAATGTAGAATGAACCTTGGGATAATTAATTGGAATTGGAGATATCAATATAAAGTCACAGCCTTTAATATACACACAGATCTATACACTCAGAAATAGATACAGATGTGTCTGGTGTGAATAAATACAGGTTTCCTAGCTCCACCCACTGAGAAACCCAAAAGGCAATGACCCTCCAGTAGCAATAAAGCATACCTACAACCTGATCTTGGTTTCTAAACACCTCCTTGGAAACTAAAAGGGGGGGGGGGGGCGCCTGGCTGGCTCACTCAGTGGAGCTTGCAACTCTTGATCTTGGGGTTATAGGTTCGAGCCCCAGGTTGGATGCAGAGCTGACTTGAAAATAATAAAATATCTTAAGAAAGAAAAGAAAAGAAAAGAAAAAAGAGAAGAAGGAAGGAACTAAAAGGAAGCAGAGCTCCTTAGAGAAATGACTGACACAGGCCAGGTCAAGGAAGCACAACATGAACCTGGTGCATCTGGTGGTGCCAGAAAATAAGGGCTCAAAAATGTTAGGGGACATGCTGAAAGGACACGGAAGCCAACCTGAAAAGCCTCCTAAAGCTCAAATCTGGAAAATCAGCAACAAAATAAATTATAGCAGTGGATTATAACCAATGGTGGGGGGGGGGGGGACACAAAGTAAAAACATGTATGCCAACATAAATGCATAAAAAAATGGTGAGAAGGGAAGGTTCTTGGGGCACCTGGCTGGCTCAGTCAGTACGGCCTGCGACTCTCAATCTCAGGATTGTGAGTTCAAGCCCCATGCCAGGTGCCTACTTTAATATATAGAAAGAATAATGGAAATTAAAAAAAAAAATCTTCATTTGGTAAATACGATTAATAATAGTTTCAGAAAACACCCGTTTGTAATGGTAGAAAGTATGGTTAGAAACAAGTTATTTATATAGCCTCAAATTACCTCCCCACAAGGTGTTTATTACTTACAAACGAAAAAATAGTAACTTTATAAAGGAGACACCACCTAAGCCACTTAACCAAAGTGCCACCACTAATGGACAGAGCAGCATCACCTGCCTCCTGATACGACGCACCAGAAGTGCACACCTTCGCTGTTGAGGCTTTCTTATAACAAATGCATAACCTGGAGCACGTTGCTGGCTCAGTCGGAAGAACTGTGACTCTTGATCTCAGGGGGTGGGGGGTCAGTTCGAGCTCCTTGCTGGGTGCAGCGATTACTTAAAAATCGGGCGCTGTGCTGACAGCTCGGAGCCTGGAGCCTGCTTGAAATTCTCTCTCTCTCTCTCTCTCTCTCTCTCTCTCTCTGTGCCCCTCCCCTGCTCTCCATCTCTCTCAAAATAAATAAATAAACTTTTAAAATAAATAAAAGTAAAATTAAAAAATGCACCTAGAAATTAATCACGAGGAAACCTAAGACAAACCCAAATTAAGGAGCATTCCACAAAACAGGTGGCTCCTAAAAAGTGACAGGAAGACTCAGGGATCGCTCCAGACTGCAGAAGAGTAAGGACCGGAATCCTCGAGAGTAAAGTCATGGAGCCGTATGTGCGGAGTCTGCAGGAACCCTGCTTCTGGAGGAGCGCTGCTAATTCCCTGGGTGCGCCACGAGACCTGCCCCGACCTGCCCGCAAGAGGAGACGTAACACTTGGGGGAATCTCTGCAAAACGTGCGGGGTAGTCTTTGTACTCCTTGTGCAACTTTTGTGAAAGTCTCAAATAATGGCGGGGGGTGGGGGGTGGGCGGGAAATCTCTGGGCCAGGCGGCCTGGTTTGAGCCCATCCTCACCCGCCGCAGGGCTGGCGCAGGGCTGCGGCGTCCCCACCTGCACGGCCCACCCGGGGTCGCTGTGGGGACCCGAAGGGCCCGAAACCCGCGAGGCGCGGCGGGTCTGCGGGGGAGCCGCACGGCTCGGGGCGCGGGACCCCGCGGACCTGCCCCCCACTCCCACCCCCGGGGCGCCCGGCCGAGCCCAGGACCCCGCGGACCTGCCCCCGCCCCGGCCCAGAGCGCGGGGCCCCGCGGCCCGGGTCCGCCAGGACCACCAAATCTCGGGGGCTTCCAGCCAGACCCGTGAAAGGTGACCCGAAAAGCGGCAACGAGCGCACCTCCCACGCGAGGCGCCCAAGCCCGCGGCTCACCCGGAACGACCGTCCGCCGCAGCCTCCGGCCCCGCCGCGTTGCCATAGTGACCCGAGTCCGACGGCCGCGGTGCTGGCCCGCCCACTGCAGCGCTCCGACCCCACCGGAGGGAAACGCGAGGCAGGAAGCAGGGTTCCGGGCTCTTTTCGCCCGCCCCACGCGCAGGCGCCGATGGGACCTCCCGCCCACCAGACTCCCGGAGAGGATCCGCCGACTTCGCCAGGAGGGCGGGGCCGATGGCGAGGGTTGGGGGAGGCCGGAGGGGCTGAGGCTCCCCAGCTGGGCCCAGGGGAGGCAGGACGCGAGCTACTGGCTGCCTCCAAAGGCCCGGGCTGGGAGCTGCTCAGGCGGGGGCGAGACTGTACTGTAGAAGGAGAGGGGGCCGGGGCTGCACGAGGAGGTCGTGGGGGAGGGCCCAGAGCTGCAGGGGAGGGGGCCCAGGTTGTCCAGGGGACCGGGGACTCGGGGACGCACGACCCCCCCCTCCCCCTCCCAATCCCGCATCGCGCCTATAGGGCCCTTCTGCAGGGAAAGCCGCGGACTTGAGGACGGCGGGTGGGGCTGCCCCAGCAAGCTTTGTGGGGTTGGGTTGCCCTTCTGTTTCCAGTGCTGTTGCTCCCTGTGTTGTTGTTGTTGTTGTTTATTAAAAAAAATTTTTTTTAAGTTATTTATTTTGAGAGAGGGAGCGCGCGCTGGCGCAGGGGAGCGATGGAGGGGGCAGGGAGGGAGACAAAATCCCAAGCATGTTCCGCAGCACGGCACTATCGTCTAGCAGACCAGACCGAAGTGGGACTCGAACTCCCCAACCGTGAAATCATGCCCTGAGCTGGGATCAAAAGTTGGACGCTTAACTCACTGAGCCACCCAGGCACCCACACGCTATTTTGTTTGTGAGAACTCACCAGCTCCTGTGTGCTCGCAACCTGTGCCCTTTTGTTTTTGTGTTCAATTGTAAGTTCAAAACAAAAGGAAAACAAAACCACAGCCTGCCTCACAGAGGCCACAGCAAGCCTTCCTGCCAAGGCCCCTGCAGCTTGCTCAGGGACGGCTTCCACGGGCATCTGAGGGTCCACGGGGCCTGAGGACCCAACCGGCCCAATAAGTGGGCCCAGGGGACAGCCTCTGCCACCCTCGGTCCCAGCCCTCCTGTCTGTGTTTTCTCCACCTGGATGGCTTGCTGGCTGCCCAGGGCCAGTCCCCAAGAGGGCCCTGCCAGTGACGGACAAAGGTCTCAAGCCAGTTAATGGTAAGAAAGGCTCAGCTTCTGGAGGGAGGTCTAGGAGTTATTAAATATCAGAAGCAGATCAATAATTCAAGCCTCATGAAAAATGGAAGCTGTGAACCTGTCATTTCACAGAAACCAAGTGAAAATAGCCATGCTCACTTGGAGCAGCTGTAGATGGTCTCCAAAACCTTTAATCTTCATTCCACAGGCCCTGGGCACCCTTGCTGCCTCCATACCAGGGTAACCTGCTGTCACAGGACACAGCCAGGGTTCAAATCCTGGTCATTCCTGTCTTACATCCTTTTAGGACTCGGTTTGTTCTCCATAAAGCGGCGAGAATGTCCTCCCTTCCCTATGGCTTAGAGGGTCAGAAACAACACTGAACCACGCAGGTCCAGCTCAGCCCCAGGGAAGGGGCCCCAGGGTATGTCTGGGACCTAACAACATGAGCTCCCTGCCTCCCCATCCTAGGCCCCCAACCTGACTCTACAATAACCCCAACACTAACCCCAACCCGACCCTATACTAACCTTACCAACCTCACCCTGACCCTACGCTAACCCCAATGCCAACCCTGACCCCATGATCACGCCAATGCTGACCCCAAGCCTGACCCTAGTGTTACCCTCAAGGCACAGCATGGCCTTGCTTCTCATGGGAAGGGCCAGTTCCTACTGCCCTTTTATGGGACGTGCACCTCCTGGCCCCTCCTCCAGTATCCCAGTATCAGAACTGATCCTCTCCCTGGATCCCCACGTAAGGCTTCTGGGGTCCCCAGCCCAGAGAGGTGCGGTACTCACCCCCCCCCCCCCACATGTCACACAGCCAATAAGATGGTGAAGGCTGGAGTGAGCCCTCCCGAGGGCCCAGGCACTTCCTACCCTTCCAGGGGCCTCCTCACATGTGGCCAGCCCCCACGGCCCCTCTGAAGTCTGTGACCTTGTCTCCCAGTCTGTGCCACAGCCTCCCCAGTGCTCCTGATCCGTGCCCCTCGCCCAGTAGCCCAGTAGATGCCTGTGGGGAGACGAAGGGCCATCCTGGCCACCAGAGTCAGGCCGGTGCCCCTCTCAGCAGTGCCCACCCTCAGCTCAGGCCCCTCACTCTCATCCCCTCACTCACCTAATCAGCATCTAGTGACCACCTCCCCAGAGTCCGCTGTCCCCCAGTCTCCAAGGCCCATTGAGGCATCAGCACACAGCAACCCAAGTAGCCTGACCCCTCTGCAGCCTTATCTCTGGTCCCCCGCTGCTCCACACCTCACTCCCCCAGGGCTCCCCACCAGTCAGGCCAGACCCCACAATTTCCCAGTGTTATTGCGGCCTAATGGCTGACTGCGTGTCAGTGTCCTGGGGCTGCTGTAACAGATGACCGCAAACTGGAGGGGGGAGGGGGGCCTAGGACAATGGTTTTGGAGGCCACAGGTCCAAAATCAAGGTGGCTACAGGGCTTTGCTCCTCCTGAAGGTCCTAGATAGACTCCTTCCTCCCTCCTCCAGCTTCTGGTGTTTACCAGAGAAACTTGGTGTCCCTTGGTTTGGGGCCACGTCACTCCCACCTCTGCCTCTGTCGGCGCGTGGCCCTCTCCCTGCGACTCTGTCTTCCACGTGGTGTTCTTTTTATAAGGAGGCCGGTCATATTGGATTAGGGCCCACCCTGCTCCAGCGTGACCTCGTCTGCACTGGTTACATCCACACAGACCCTATTTCCAAGTAAGGTTGCATCTCAAAGAGCTGGCGGCTAGGACTGGAGCCTGTCCCTTCGGGGCCACCATTCAACCCACTACAGACTGTTCAGACTGTTCCCCTGGGGCTACACTGGCTGACAGCCCCCCAGTGCCGGCTCCCCCACCGGCCAGCCTGTGGTCACCCCACCACAGATATGGGAACAGGGCAGGGGCGGTTGAGGGGGCCTGGACAGCCCCGTAGCAAGTAGCACAGCCAAGATTGGACTGTTCCTGCACCCAGAACACACGCTGCAGCTCAGTAATTGTTTGTGGGGTAATAACAACATTCGAGGGTCACTGAGGGGCCAGTGAGAGGCTCCGAGGGGCCCTGCTTCCTGGTGTGTCATGTGGAATGGCCCCCCATATTGCATGGAGCCCTCACAGCCACCATTTGGGTGGCTCCAGAACTCTCCCCACTTTACAGATGAGGAAACTGAGTCCAGAGGGGCTGTCCTGCTTCCAACGTGCCCCCAGAGCCTAAGCCCAGAGCGGATCTCAACACTGGGAGCCGGGCTGACTCCATCGTAGGGTGTCGTAAGCCAGGAAGGACCACTGCTCAAAAGGGCCAGGTTTGCGCTGTGGCTCCAGGATCCCGGAGCACCCACACTTGGTGGCCAGAGTGGCCCCTGGGTGGGCAGCCTGGCCTGGAAGCTATACTCTTTCCCAGGACAGGGCCCCACGGAGACGCAGAAAGCACCAGGGGCTGCCCAAGGAGGGCCGGGACTCCAGGTCCTTCCTCCAGTTTTGGCCCTGGAGCTCACAGTGCTTGGAGCTGAGCTCACCGGGGGGACATCCCTTGCAGGACTCCCATGGGCTCCCAAACGCACAGGAATCGGGGGTGGGGTCGGTGCGGGCACAAACCTGCATGGTCTTGAGCAAGTCCCTTCCCTCTAGGCTTGGGAAATACCCACACTTCACCCCCACCCCGTGCGGGACCCGCGGCAACTTCTCCATTTGCTCACGGGCCTGGGGGTGGGAAAGGCTGGGCCACTCCCCAGTGGGGTCCTGGGGAAAAGGGGACCCAGCGGGGAGGTTTGGTCGGAGATGCCCTTCAACCCCCAGCATGTGCCCCGCCCCCAAGAACAAGGGGTGCCCTGCGAACCCGGTGGGCGGCAGGCTCACAGCCCCACCACCAGGAAGGGACTCCAGTGGTGAGGACGGTGCTCCTGGAGGGATGAAGGGACCAGAGGGCTCAAGGTAGCTGTTTCCCAGAGGCCCAAGCCCAGAGGCGGACACAGAGCTGTTGGAAGTTCCCCCTGAGGCCGGAGAGAAAGAGGCACGCTGCCCCACGGGTGGGCACCAAGAGAGCCGTGCCCCCCAGGCCATCTGGACCATGGGGTTGGCATCCACCCTCCTTTGCCATCCTGCCCACGACACGGACAGCAGCCTGTGAGATGACTCCCAGGGGCTGGGGGAGCCCCACAGGACTGGCAGGTTCACACTGCTAATCCCTGGAGAGGGGTTCACCTCTCTGGGGTTGGATGTGAGAGAAGCCAGGGGGCTTGTGTGGCCCATGCATGGCTGGGACAGGACCTGGCCCCGCACGCCCAGTGGGAACCCACCCAAGAGCTGGCGTCCCTGCGCGTGGCATGGGACCGGGCACCAGCTGTCAGGTCCCCGGACGCATCCCACCCTCCCTCCAAGGCCAGCAGGGGGTTCCGCTGAGCTCTCAGTGCTGAGTCACCAGGGAGGGGGGACTGCGGTCAAAGCAGGAAGGTTGGGCAAGGCCTTGCCTTCCCCACAGGCTAGAGGGACGCTCACGCTTGGCACACAGCCTGGGCCTGCTGGCTCAGCCCCTGGCCAAGGCCTGGCTGCCATCCCCCTGCCCTCCACTCCGGCCTGCAGAAGGCTGAGACTCCCTTTACGTCAGAAATGACTGGCATCTCCATGTGCCTGGCAGGACCCCCGGTCTCCACCGCTGTCCCCTGGGGCTGCAATGCTCCACACTGAGATTAGGGGGGCTCCAGGGGGGCTGTAACACCAGGTACCACCATGGAGGGTCAGAGTTTGATCGCTGGAGAGCAAAAGGAAGGAACAAGGTGGGGCCACGCCTCAGCAGGGACCCAGAACCCAGTGTAAGGTCAGGTGCAGAGTATATGGGCGGGGCTATGTTAGCTGGGCCCCCAGGCAGCCCACCTGAACAGATAGATGATACCTGAATGGTGGCCAAGGAA